TTCTGTTCAAAGACTTCATCAAACAAGTTGGCAGATCTGTCTAAATCGGTTCGCGAATCAGTTTGAATGATCTGTTCAGTTCCTCGCGCACTGAATCGTCTGAAGCGCTTTCAATTCACACTCGGCACGGAGTCGTAACAGGAAGATTTAAGAACCACGAGCGTTGGAGGAAGTGGCCGTGGACCTACAGTTTAGTCTGAAAGCAAATCTGCAAATGCATCATATTTTTGCCAGCGATGAAGATCTAGTTGAACATCTTCGTATGATGTCTGTGAATGAATGATTCCACAGGACAATACATTCTAGTTGATTTCATTCAGGTAATACATTTTATAACCAAACAGATTATTACTCGACGGTAGCACTACAAGTATGATGACATTATCCGTTTTCTGCACATATATTTTCATTTATAGGCTACATTAAATAAGCTACCATTGTCCACAGTTTATGAAATGAACACCCGCCATCCCGTGGTAATGTGTGTATTGTGCAGTGAAACACGAATAGTTTTGATTGAAACTAATTTGTTTAAAAAGTAGGCTTTTGCAGTAACAAGGTAGATTTGCATAAAATCATTATGACATTATTTTTTTTTTTATCTAACGAGCATCTGGTTTGGCGATGCAAAAACGGACTGTCGTGCTTATTTTTGTATTTTTTTTTATGTTAACTATGTTAAAAAAAAACGACGAAAACATGTTAATTGTTCGAATAATAAACAGTATGTTTGATGATAAATCGCTAAAGATGAAATTGGCCTCCCTTTCTGTCATTGTGCGTTTTTCTTTTTTTTCTTTTTTTTTCTCGAACGATAATCGACTTTTGCTCCTCGTTTTTCGAATGGCATTTTTGGCAGAAATTCACATCCCTAGTTTATACATCAGGCCCCAGGTGCAGGGGAGTATGAGACTTTAAATACTTTTTCCAAAACATGTATTTGTTTCTTGTGCGTTCAAACCACCTCCACATTTTTTTTTAAACTTCAAGCTCTTTTAAGCACTTTTCTACTAAACAAGCCCATTTTCCAGGTATTGCAGAACTGACATTTCTAAAAGCTAAATCCAAGCAGTTTAAGGACCTTGTGCGAACCCATCCATTCTTCTCTGAATGTCCCTCTGTTCCTGCTCCACAGGAAGCTCTTCACACGTTCCCTCAGATTACGGCGGAGCCCCTGGACTCGGGCGCCGTGAGGGTCAGACTGAGTGGGGAATGCTACAACCGCAAAACCCTGAACCGCATCAAAAAGAGTGTTTCCAAACCACAGGTGACTCTTTCACTGTGAACAGTCCCCCTGATACTGAAATCTAAATCTGATTTGATTATGGGACTCTTTGTTTTTAAACTTACTTAATAGAGCTGTCAATCTGAGAAAAAAATTCATCACAGTTTCAACAAAAATATGAACGGTTTTCAACATTGATTTAAAATAAGAAATGTTTCTTGAGCATCAAATCGGCATATTAGAATGATTATTTCTGAAGGATCACGTGACACTGAAGACTGGAGTAATGATTCTGAAAATTCAGCTTTGCATCACAGGAATAAATTACATTTTTTAAATATATTGAAAAAGAAAACAAGTTATTTTAGCAGTAATAATATCTCACAATATTCCATTCCAAAGGGAATCTTCTGAACTCCCTGAAACACCTCGATTGTAGTCTTGAGCTTTCTTCTGGAAACAAACATGTCACAATATTCCTCATTAAAGGACATTCCCAAACACTCTCGAAGCACTTGACCAATCACAACACACTGATCCATTCGACTTATCAGAGCACAGTGTGCTTTTCTGAAGGAGGGGCTTCATAGAGACAGAAACTAAACAGAGCGTTACTGACAGACTGGGAAGAGAGGAGCTGCAACAATAGAGAATATTGGAAAACATTCAAGTATGAAAACTTATTCTAGTAGAGCCCACAAACAAAATCAAGACTTTATAAAAGTGTGTAATATGGCCTCTATAACACTTTAAATCCATTGGCAGCCTTCATCATAACTAATAGGAACAATGTAGAAACTGTGATAGAATTCAGATTCTAACATGTCACCATCCCTGTCTCCTCCAGGACCTCAAGTTGTCTACAGACACATGTCGAATCTACAGTCTCTACCATTCACTGCATCATTATAAATATCATACCTTCTTACACTGCAAGAAAGAGGTAAGAACTACATTCCCCAAACGCAGCTGGAGTAAACAAACGCAGACATGAACGCATTATTAAAACTCTCTCGTCTTTTCTTTTAGACGAACACTATAGAGCAGGCTTCAGAAGATCCTGGACAAGAGGAGGTTGTTCAGCAGTGCATGGCCAATCAGAGCTGGCTGGAGACGCTCTTCAACTCCTTCTTAGAGCTGATGGCCCTCAGCACCAAAGCGTGAGAGGGAGGAAGTCGAGGAGGCCTCAATGTACAAAGAAGCTGGATTTATTGTTGCCTAGCTCCCCTGCCCTCCTCTTCGGTTTTCCAGAAATTCTCTTTTAAACGGCTCTTACGCAGCGGCGACAGAAGAGGACCGGGCGACGAGCCCAGCAAGCATAACTCGATTAACTCTTCACAAACGTCACCGAGGCCGCAGACCCGGTGCAGGAGCGCTCCTGAGAGCTCAGACCAATGGATATGACTAAACTGAGAGCGCCTGAAATGGGCTGACCTTACTGAATTCACTGAATCCCAAGGAAATGGTACACAGAACCATGGAATATACTGTGTGGAGTCTTTATACTTTTTGAATGGACTGATTCACCACCGTGGGAAATAACTGACAGGAGGAGTTCGCTTCGTGTCGACACTAGGAGGAAGTCTGTTACTGAATTTTACACAAATAATTTTTTAAGACTATAGCAGTTTTATTCTGGCTTTTTTTTCCTGAAACGAGAGCGAGAGAGAGAGAGAGTGAAGGTTCTGTTTTATAAACGAGTGCAGATTGGAAAGCGGACATGGGAAGATGCGTGCAACGACATGTGATGACATTCAACGCTTTAGTCTACACGCGTGAAACAAGTGAGCTAAAGTAATGCATTTTTATTATTTATAAAGACATTTTTAACAGGAGTTCGCACATACTATACAAACAAGTAATGCTTCATAACGGTTAAAATAATGTTTGTTCAGATGTTATAAATGGATCTTATTGCCACATTCTGAGCTGTCTTCCTTTTTGCTCATCGAAGGTGGGTAGATACAATGGAAAATGTCTTATCGTTTTGATCTGTTGCGGAAGAGAAAAGAAAGAACAAACTATTTCAAGCTACGCAAACGGTATTATTGCAGTGCATTCTACAGAAAAAAAAAATCAAATGGAGTTGAAAGTGAGAGTGAAGCATCTGATTCCCATTAGGGAGGGATTATGTATTAGTACTATTTAAAATGGAAATTTGTTTTTATTTGTTTGTCTTTTGTCTGTATTCTGAGTATTATTTTGGAACAATCTAATACTGTGCTTCTTTCAAAAGTAAAGCCTTTGTGTAAATATTGTACAGCTCTTGACAAAAATCCCCCGGTTCTTCTGTACATGGACTATCCCTGTATTTGACAAACAAATAAAACCGTCAACAACTACTTTGTCTCAAATAAGATATGCTTTTTTCCCTCTGGGTTTGCACTTTGCTCCAAGTCAGATTTTTTTTTATAAACTTTGTGACGGGAGAATTAATCAAGTCTGATCTTTTTCTCTCTCTCTTTGGCTTCAACCGAACTCTTCCCTAAATTATTTAATGCAAAGGTTTGTTCTTTTCCTTGAACTTTTGACCATGACTAGTTCATTACACTTCCCCTTTTTGCTGTTACTGTTTATTATTTCTGTTGCTTTATATTTTATGATCTATTCATCTTCGGTTTAGGCCTCAAAACAGCAGGGTATTTCCAGCCTGGAACTTTCTAGAATAGTAGAAATGTCTAGCTTTTTATGATTAAATGGTCCAAATTGTTTTGGAATATTTTCAAAGTATAACCAGAAAGTACAATTGTGACCTAGAATTTATACAACTACTTGGAAAATATGCAGTCAAAAAGTACATTGGCACTGAATTGATATTTCTTGATAAATCTAAAGACATGCTTGCATTCTTGGTTTTGTATACAATTATAAATTAAAGCTGGTGTGTTATAACAGATTAAAAAGTTTTGATTGGTTGACATTTTTGCTCACAATTCTGATGATAATTCTTAAATACCGGTAATAATAATGAGGAATAGGAGCAGGTGTGCTTTCGATCATATCGATGGAAGGATTATTCGGCGATTACTGAATGAAAGCGCAGCTCTGAACAAAATGCCCTGTAAAATAAATATAAATATGTCTGATAGGTGTACTGATCAGAAATGTATTAAAATCCATACAATAATATCATCATGAGAACTAGAAAAAAAATTCACCAATCAATTTTTAATTTTTAATCCAAACATCTTCACATAAAGATGATTCTCAACTATGTTATGAAAGATATAACAATAATTTGATCATGTACTATTTTACAATATGCATGTAAACATGGCAATAAATGATTATTCCCATTCTATACAATGGATTTATACATTGCATCTAATTGGCATATTAATGTGTTATTGGAGCAACATAATGCAAAAAGAAGTGTAATAATGGGAGTAATAACTTGGCAACATTTTCTTAAGAATTTAATATTCGGAATATTGATATCATTATTTTATTTCCCTATCCACTTGTGTCTCTCCAAAAGTCTTAGTTACATCTACAGAGGACATGTATGAAAGCGACAGAAAGTCATATTCTGATTTTTCCTGAGATGTATTTTTGACTGAAATAATGTCTTCTACAGAGGATAAAAGTCTACGGGTCTCATGAAGATAGACTATATTTGAAAATGTCATTGATTTTCACGTTGTTCAAACCTGCCGTACCAAACTGACCAAAATGACAGATATTAGTCGTCCTCGCCATCTAGTGGTCATCTAGGGTAAAACAGTTCCCCAGTACACGGAGTGACGTGTACAATGACGTCAAAATGGAAAATCGAAACTGACATGGATTTCCCAATTTCCCGAGTAATGTTCAACACCTGATGTTAAGGGACAATAAAGTGTTCAAGCGTTGAATAAAGTCCGGTATTAACGCAGAACTGACAAGCAAGCCTGTCTCATAGTCCTGATATCTGAAGAGTTCGCTGAAAAACACAACAGGCCACAGAACACACACTGTCGATGTAACCTTACACGGTAAGTGACGATTAAGCCATTGTGTTTTTGTTATTATACTTATGGTTTATTATTTGACTCCCGAGATCACATTATTCCTTATACAGAATGTCTTCCAATTCCAAGATATGTCATGTTTAAAATTAAAATGTCCACGGCGATATGTAAGAAAATGTCTATACTGTAAAGTTCAGTCAAACACTGACATTAGAAGAAAGGTGTTTTAGGTTTTACTGTATTTTAGGGGTGTATTAAATAAAAGTTTAATAAGAGTTGTGAGAGTTTGTAAATGAAATGTAAGGATATTTCAGCATGTTCTTCTGTTTGTGCAGGTACATTGATGGTTTAGTTTGGTGTGTTGTATAGTCTGTGTGCATCATCATGGCCCAACCAAAGCCGCTCTTCGTTCCCTGGTTGTACCAAAAGATAGAGAGTGGAAGTTATCCTGGAGTGTGTTGGACCAGTAAAGAACTTCAGCAGTTTAGCATTCCATGGAAGCATGCTTTGAGACACGACAAAAACAGTGATGATGTCCTCATATTCAAGGTGAAAATAAGCATTATTTGTCATTATTAAAGATCCATTATCATTAATACAGGTTTTTGATTACCATATTAATGCGCCATGTTTTTTTACATGATACTCCAAGGTACTTAAAAGGATAGTTCACCCAAAAAGGAAAATTCTGTCATCATTTACTCACCTTCAAGTCGTTCCAAACCTGTATGATTTTCTTTCTTCTGTTAAACACAAAAGTAACCAAACAGTTGATGGGCCCCATTGACTTCCATAGTATTTTTTCCCCATCAACTGGTTTTAAATGATGACAAACTTTTCATTTTTGGTTGAACTATCCCTTTAAAATAATTAAATTTGATAATACCATAGCAATGCAATGGCACTTTTAGTATACATAGTGCATTAGATCGAAGTAGATCTTTATATGTAGGCTAATTTCATAATTACTTATGTTGTCTTTGAAATATGGCTTACGTCAAATGTACTGACAAGCATTTATGGTAACCTAAAATATACTTTAATGTCATATCCACTGAAACATCTATTTATGTCATGTAGAGAGAGAGCAGTTGTCATGCTTTATGAAACAGCTTGACAAACTTTTAAACCAGACAGTATCATTATTTCTGTGTTACAATAATTCAAGTGATCCCAGAAGTACTGGGATAAACATTTATAGTTCGGATATAAACACTGATGTCTATGGTAGCTATCAAAATGGAGTAAATCACCTTTTAAAACCAACTTGAAGTGACTGTTAAAAAATGTACTTGTCAATGAATAATTCATTCAAGAGATTTGTTCAAAATCACTGATTCATCCAGTAACGAAACAAGTGAAGTCTTCATGAGTGAGTCAATGAATCATTCATTCAAACCGATTTAAAAAAAAAAAAAGTTAAAAATGTTGTTTTTTTAAAATATAGTCTGCTACAATGAACATTTTGTCAGAGCTTCTAGTAAATTACATGTTATTTAGTTGAATTGTCTATTCAGATTCATGGGCGAATCTTGATCCTTAATTAAAAAAAATCGTGATTGTCAATTTATCCAGAATGGTGCAGCTCTAATGCATACTATCTTTAAGCACACTTAAATTTGAAGTACACTACAAGTGCACATTTAATACATTTATTTTTCACAAGAGGACACTATAATTGTAAGGGTAATTGTCTTCTAATATCTGTAATTTGGTCCGGTCAGGCATGGGCTCAGACCAGCGCTTCTGGAGACAGCAGGATAAATGGAGATCCCTCTGTTTGGAAGAGAAACTTCCGAAGCGCTCTGCGTGCCAAAGGCTTCAAGATGGTATTTGACAACAAGAATGACACTGCTAATCCGCATAAAGTGTATCAGTTTCCATCTGATCGTCTTTCTGCAGGTAAGAAACTATACATTTGTGTTTGATGTCATTAAGAAGATTGTTCATTGAACTCTTCTGAACCTTTTCCGTTCTCTATCCTGACCGCCTTTAGGATCGGAAGGGTCTCAAGAGACTGATGTGAGTATCTGTTTAATCAGTTATTATGTGCTTGTCAGGTTGGGTTTTACAAAAAGCACATTCAAATAGACAACCTGTGTAATCGGACAAGACATACTGTACACACACTGACTTGGGGAATTTGTTTTCCATTTTTTAGTTTTCTCCAGAACTATATTTGGAGGAGGAAAGCGTGTTCTCTAGTAAGCAGTTTTTTATACCCAGTCATGCATTTGTTATACAGGTGAAACTCGAAAAATGAGAATATCGTGCAAAAGTTAATTTATTTCAATTCAACTTAAAAGGTTCAACTAATATATTATCTAGACTCATTACATGCAAAGTGAGATATTTCAAGCCTTTATTTCTTATAATTTGGATGATTACAGCTTATGAAAACAAAAATTCAATCTTATTTTTATTATACCCTATTATGAACCAAATTCAAATTTAGAATATTGTGAAAAGGTTTCCATAGCTGTAAGCCATAATCATCCAAATTATAACAAATAAAGGCTTGAAATATCTCACTTTGCATGTAATGAGTCTAGATAATATATTAGTTTCACCTTTTAAGTTGAATTACTGAAATAAATGAACTCTTGCACGATATATTCAAATTTTTCGAGTTTCATCTGTATAATACTGAGATAGGCCTTTAATCGTGATGACATTATGTTTGACTTTTATCTCCTTTGTCTACTCTGATCTTTTCTTTCTTAGAAAACCCATCTCAAGGTTTAGAGGGACAATTAACTGGACTAAACCTTCAAGAAAGTCCCTCCCGAGGTAGATTTTTTTGATGCGGTTTAGCAAAATATGATTTGGATTAACTCTATGGATATGGTTTTACCATTATTTTAGGTATTTGAATCTCTATATGCATAATGTATGCTATTGTTATATTATGATAAAAAACACACACTCACACACAAAGTGATGTCCTGCTTAGGAAATTGACATGCTTTATTCAAATATTATACAAAATTCAGTTGCACTTTATTATACAGTAAGTGCACTTCCGTGTATAAAACACTGGGTAATATGAGGTAACTAAATGTCTTAAGGTTAGGTTCAGGGTTAGAACCTAGTTATTACCTAGCTATTGTAATAACTATAATAAGTACATAGTATGTACATGGGAAACAGGACTGTAAAATAAAGTGCTACCAAAAATTAATTTAAGATTTTGTAAGCGTGTTGTTTTATCGTGGTAACGCAATGACACGTCAAATTATGCGGGCATAATTTTTGGCCTGGCTATCATACAAATAAACATGTAAAAACAACAGAGAACCAACTAAATATTAATAACTGAATATGGTGTCGAGTAGACAGTGTCTGCCTTTTGTTTTTCTATGCATTTTCTTATTTGCATAGTCAAATAAAACCTGTAGCTGTAGTTTGGCTTTTATTGTCAGATAAAGACCCTAACCATGTTTAGTGTGTGGTTCTTCCCTCATATTTAAAATGTGTATATATATATATAGATGCATATTTAGATGGTTTAATCCCCTCCGGACACCACTTTTGACCACTTTTTTACAATGTACGTGGATTATTGCTTTTAGTTAAATAATGATTTAAAGGACAGTGAATTGTGAATTTCACTTTTCGTATTTGTTTCAGTCCATGAAGTTTGGAATTCAGAGCAGTTATACTTGGGACAACAACTCTTCCAAAAAATGAATCCATGTTCAGAACCCCAGTTTACTGGGATGGCCCGTTTTCAAAGAGTGGACCCTCCTGTAGCCTTCTCTTCAGCTGGGGGTGCTGTTGGTGGTTTGGGGCAGATTTCACCAACTGATGCGGTGACGGCGGTGAATCCTCATTCTCCAGAATATCAGCGGCCGGCGGCGTGTCCACCACATGCTGAAGGGGATCAGGATGCCATTCCTGAACCAAAACTGGGTAGGTAGAACCCGAGACCATGACATATTCTTCACATCAATCACTGGTGTTTAATTACTCACAGCTTTTTTTTCCATTCACAGAGACATTTTTTCGGATTAAGGTGTATTACAAAGGGAAGATGGTGTTAGAAAAGCTGGTGGAGAATGCTGGATTCAGACTGATGTATCAGGAAAACATGTTGGTTTTTTTGTACTTAATTTACTGATCAACTTTCAATTAGCACCACCAAATCATGTTTTAATATAATAGATGAATACTTAACAACAGTCTACACTGTCTTCCCATAGGGACGAGTCCAGTGCTGACCTACCACTACCAGTGGTGAGGCTGCCTCCTCCACATGATATCCTGGATCAGACCCAGGCCAGGCTTACAAATGATATCCTGAATAATCTGGGCGGTCTGGAGATCAGGAGATCGGATGCTGTGGTTTATGGCCACCGCTGGGGAAACAGCAGGATCTATTGGGGTCTCTGCAAACATGAAAAAAGCCCAACAACCAGAGAGCTCTCCAAGAACACACCTGACCCCATCTACTTCTTCAAAAATTATATTTCAGGTGAATTATATTAGATGTTTATTTTATGTATTTGTTCAGGTATTGGTGGTTGCAAATATTTAGGTGATTCTTCTATATCCCTTGGATAATTTGCTGGATGTCTGTTGATGCCATTCCATTAGGTTTGATGGAGTTTATGGAGACGAGCGGTGAATCTCCCTCTTATACTCTTTACTTCTTTCTGGGAGAGAAGTGGCCGGACCCCAAAATGAGACCTTGGGAGAAGAAACTCATCATGATAGAGGTTCGGATTGGGCAAATTATTTATTGTCCTAATATATATATTTATAAAATATTTGTGATATTTCAATTTTTAATATTAAAACCCTATAAAACGCACTGTACCATATTTGGTACGCAAACTATCAACATGATCAAAAAAATTATCTGTTGCACACATGCCTCCTGCTGTCTGATTGATAGTTTATACTTTAATGATAAAACAAAGTCCTTATAGTATCGTTTTAAAAATGTTCACCTTCAGGTCGTGGTTCATGTGTCTTTTTACTCTAAAATGTTTAATGATTTTTATCACATAAATGTAAGAATAACTTTTATATTGTTAGTAATATTTCAAGATGGACACTTACTGGACTGAAGAAACTTATCCATACATACTTTCTTTTTTAGAAAAATCATGTTAAAATGTATCAAATATGATGCATTAGGCTTTTTGAGGAACGTGTATTTGTACATCTGTCAATCCTCATTGTATTGCTTTACGTTATATGTTTCTTCCACAATTAAAACCTAGATTTTATCATAAAACCTAAGCATTTAAAAATCATCTAACTAAAACATATTATTGAGAGATATAGAGTGACATCTGATATAGTCTGAGCTCCATATTCTCACTATATCATTTACATTTATGCATTTGGCAGACGCTTTTATCCAAAGCGACTTGCATTGGATTTCAAGGTACACACTTACATTCTTATCAGTTCTTTTCATACTATCATACTAAATGAGAAACAAAAGCCTTGATATATCAAATATGATACTCAACAAAAAACAAAAAAAAATTGTCTAAAGGTTCAATAAACGGCTTGATTTTCCTGACTATTATTCCATAAGTCAGGCTTTACAGGGTTGAGAAATAGTTTATTGAACATTGGTATCTTTCATCATATTGCAGTTATGGCCACAGTCACATGTGACTATCCACTCAAAGCCATAAGTTGCAGTCTACACCTGTTGAGTCACTGACTGTAATGTAATGCCTCTCGTGGCTTTCTGCTTCATTAGTATTCACAATTTCTTAGAGGCAGCAGTAGTGATTTTTGTCAGAGTATATCAAATAAAATAAAAAATTGTATCATGACTTATTTGTATCTTTCCCATGGTTTCTCTGGTTTGGTTAGGTTATCCTGACTTCACTGGAGGGTTTGAACACGTTGGCTGTTACACGTGGGGCGTCTTCACTGCAGTCAGTGGAGCTACAACTCTCTCTGGAGCAAATGATGGAGTTGTGTTAGAAAGATCGCTTCTGACCAAGTGAAAAGGCTTGACTCTATTCTTATTTGGGATGAATTGAAATGACTTCTTAAAGTGCCCCTATTATGCTATTTTAAAGGCTTTAATGTTGTTTTGGAGTTTCCTACGATGGGCTTACATGCATCCAATGTCAATGTAATATACATTACACATCACCTCATTTCTCAGAGAGTCTGAAACGGTTCGTTCGAAGATTCAGTCTCTGTAAACCCCTCCTTTCCGAGAGCCTACTCTGCTCTGATTGGTCAGACGTCCCAGTCTGGTGTGATTGGTCGACAGCTTACGGTGCATCGGACATGAAACTCGTATTACCATATCTGATGAATATTAGCTCTACCTCAGCACTTGATACACTGTTATATGAACAAAGGCGTTGTTTTTTTCCGGATCAAGTCCTTGTCCTTTTGAAATGCATGCAACGTGGATTCTCAGCGCTGAAAACTGCGTCTTCTCGACATGTCGACAACATGAACCAAACTCTTCCAGTCTCAGCTACAACTACAGTGTTTGAGGGCGGGTCAAAGCAGAACTTGTTTAGCCAATGAAGACCATAGACTGGCATTATGCAAATTTGTTTCATTTTTACGTAGGTTTGTAACAGGATGGGAAGTGAGACTGGAATTACTGACGACACGTTTCTGCAGGTCAGAATCGATTCTTTCTTTTAGGAGATAATAACTTTATTTGTGGTGCACTTTGATCTTTGAAATGTTACATTCACAAACAGCTATATTACGGTACACACTGCATGAAAGCTAATATTCGAAAAAGCATAATAGGGGCACTTTCAACTGTTTACTTAGTGGCGACTCCATGGTTAATTGTATTTATTTAAAAGTGTGTGGACTAATATTGCTGAGCAAATTTTCAGTAATGGTACAAGACAATAATAATTGATTCAGTAGATACAAATACATAAAGAAGTTTACAAAGGGAGTCGTATTTCATATAACAAGTTGTGTGTACTATCATAAAAAGTCTGTGCCTTTCAGTCTGGTTTTACACTACTACTGTTCTCATAATACAATAGTGTCAGATTGAATAATCATGTCTTTTCACAATGTCCTCAATCTTTTTTTGATTTTTGTTATATCTTTGACTGAACTGAATCTGAACTGAATGTGAACTGTTCATTTTGTGGGCTCCAGGACTTCATTGTTCCACTGATGTGCCGTTTCTTTTGCTTTTTCAACTGATATGAACAGGTTTGCACTTAGAATCATTTCACTTTCCAGTCATGTAAAACCTGGAAATATCAGGGAATTTTACGTGTTTTCCAGGCATGGAAATCGCATGCAAATTAATAAAATCTCAAAAAGTCATGGAAAAGTTGAGAACATTTCAATTCAATTCACATTTATTTGGTGTAAAGCCACATAAAGTGGCTTTACAGAAAGATACATGCTTCTATATTACAATTCAGAGTGATCTTTACCAGTGTTGACTGTATTAAAGTAATGTCCATATGTCAAACATTTTCTAAGATAATACAAATAGTGCAGTTAGCTAATATTATGTATTCATTTAGACAGAAACAATTATCTCATTAAAGCAATTATTACAAGTTGTGATCATGATAACAATACATTTCTATAATGAATATACATTTTTCTATTTATACTCTGTTCTGAAATATTTTATCGATAAGCCATGGTATCAGATTTGTGATTGAATCAGTTGAATCAGTAGTATTCAATGAACTGATCAAACCGGTTTAACATTTAATATTCAGCTATGTGGGAGGGATTTTGCACCAATCAGATTTCACTGTGGGCGGAGTTGCCCAGCGCTACACAACATAAATAAACTAAAGACCACAACATGTCCCAGAGGGATTCATCTAACTTACATTAAACTGACACACTGTTTGTACCACTGATTCTACAGTCTCAAAAAATAAAACATTTAACGAGCATCAAAGCAACATACTTCTTTGAAAGAATATGGACACTTTCAAAGAAGTGTCCTTCACATCACAACACATTTTAAAAATTAAGATCTATATTTATATTTTATTATTTAGATGTACAATACATTTTAAAAGTTTGGGATCTGTAAGATTTTTCAAATGTTTTTGAAAGAAGTCTCTTCTGCTCACCAAGGCTGCATTTATTTAATCAAACAATTTTTTTGAAATATTATTACAAATTAAAATACATATTTTCAATGTGAATATATTTTAAAATGCAATTTATTCCTGTGATGCAAAGCTGAATTTTTAGCATCATTACTCCAGTCTTCTTCAGCATCACATGATCCTTCACAAATCATTCTAAAATATATACTTTTTTTTTGTGGAAACCAACATTTTTTGTCAGAATTATTTAATGAATAGAAGTTCAAAAGAACAGCATTGTAACATTATAAATGTCTTAACTGACACTTTTGTTCAATTTATTGAGTCCTTGCCGAATATATATATACACACACACATATACACAGGGTGCGATGTGTGAAAAAGCAGAGGGTGACGTTTTGGAAAAAAAAATAAAAAATCATGAAAATAAATCACAAACCACAGTGGGTATTTCATGCAGCTGTTAAAATAACATAATTATAGAATAATTATGACCTTTAATGAAACAATATTGGAAAATTTTGAAAAAGGAATATTTTAATAAATTTTTTACATTTTATTTCGTCAAATAGAGCGAGATTTTCACTCTTATTATGCCTGGTCCTTTCCTCATTGGGAAGCACTCATACACATAGGTTATTCTGGAAAGCACATCCAATTTGTTTGTTTCTTTTTTCTTTATTCTACAAAAGCATAACGATTTGTTGTTATTATGAGCATAGACACTGACGAAAATGGCCAAGCACCCACAGAATGTAGTAAATGAAATGGCCAAGCACCCACTTGCCAGATGTAGTTTGTCCAGATATAGGTCTACAGATGTATGCAGATGACACAGTGGTATATGCATCTGGTAATAACTATATTTCTGGGGCTGACAAACTAAATGCTAACTTAGAAAAAATATCATCTTGGCTGACCTCATCTTGTTTAACCTTAAACACCAAAAAAACAAACTCTGTCTGCTTTTCAATTAAAAAACGACCTCTAACACAACTTTTGAACGTAAAAATTAATGGGGAACTTATTGAACAAGTACCTGAAGTGAAGTACCTCGGAATAATTTTGGACTATCAGTTGAACTTTAAAAGTCATATTAAGAAAATCTGTAAAACTATTAAGGCCAACTTGAGCTGTTTTATGATGATAAGAAACTGCTTGACTCTTGACTGTGCTTTTATTTTTTTTAATTCTATGATTCTAACACGCATATCTTATGGCTTAACCACATGGTCTCAAGCTCATCAGTCATCAATCAAAACCATAGAGTGTCTTTATAACCGTGCCTTGAAAGTTTTGGACAAGAAGAGAATAAGGTACCATCACTGCCAAATTCAACGCAAATATAAGATTTTGAGTTTTGCTAATTTTATTTCCTTGCATCTGGTTAAACTGGTCTTCAAATGCTTGAATGACGCTGCTCCACCACCGCTTTGCAAAACAATAACAAGACAGCAAAGTACTAGATCAATCACCCGTTCAGTGTCAAAAGGCAACTGTAGGATCCCTTTTCGAAGAACATCATTTGCCCAGGCTGCTTTTTCAGTTAAAGGGGCAAAATTATGGAATTCTTTGCCAGACCATTTGAAATGTATCCCAACATTAGCCTCCTTCAAAAAAAATACAAAATCGTGGTTAATTCAGGAACAATATTGCTCTCATACTTAGTATTTATACTTTGCTATCTCTGTATATTTCCTGTCCTTTTTTATTTAATTTCCTTTTTCTTTTTTTTATTATTGTAATTTTCTTCTCATCTTTTTAATAATGTTAAACTGTATTTTTTTATCAAAAAGCCCTACTAGGGACAAGTGTCGTGAATTAGCTTTAGCTAAAAACACTATGATACATACATCAGATGACTGTTAAAGTTGATCTATGTTATTTGTGTCTGTCCCTATCTAAATAAACTGTAAAAAAAAAAAAAAAAAAAAAAAAACACCAGATATTCTCCATTCACTTTAACCAATAAAAAAACAACGATTGCAGCTTTCAGACAAGACTTTCTTGTCTTATCTGTTCAAACACGTCTGCACTCGCTAATCTCGACTTGCTCTTTCTCTAGAATTGTCTTTTTTTCCTGGATTTAATGTTGCCAGAAGCTTTGAACCAGCACTTTCACGATTGATTGATGAAATAACTCAGTGTACCTTTAAATTGTAAAGAAATGACGGATTCACCTTTGTTTCATGAGACAGCATTTTGATTTTAGTCAACAAGATTTCAAGTTATTTTATTATTTAATAGTTAAGTGCTTATTGTGACTGGTATTTATTGAATTGTATTGGGTGAAGCTCTACTGATCATCAGGTAGCATAGGCTATATCAGCCGGAGCACGACTCGCGACAACACTCAAGAATAGAATGCGCTTTTGTTTGGTTGGTAATGTATTTGCAGTCCGTGCGTTTCTCTTTGCGAGAACTTTAGTGTAATTCATTCATCAAGCGCACTGTTGAAGGAAAAAAAAACTAAAGTAGCCTACTCTTGAAAAACGAACATTAGGCATCACACGAGTGATGCGCCGACAGGGAAAGTCCATTTCTGATTTTATTATTGTTTAAACGTGGATGTTGAAGCATTTTAATTAGTGATATCTATTGGTGAAGTATCTTATTGACCCCAAACCTTTGAACTGTAGTGTATTCATTAATTCAAGTGTCTTAATTAGATATATTCAGGTAATATTTAAGGGTATGTTTTTATGTTTAAGCTGTTAAAATGTTAAGACTAGTTATTTTAAGTTATAAGTATATCGTTTTGGTCACCACATCCATGCCGATCTACTCCACGTTCTCCAGGTCATCGTGTTCTTCCTCTGATTCCCTCTCCTCCATTGAAAGGTCCCTGAGCTCTGACAGTGGCACCAGCTGACCCGCTTGGTTCAATCCCATTGGCTGAATCACATTATCCCTGTTTAGGAAAAGGTGCGAGAGTGTAAGAGCAGTGTGTACAAAGCTTTACTGGTGTTTTGATAAGTGGTTTAAGTTCCTTACTTTGAGAGTTTGTTGAAAAGACTGATGAGCCGGTGAGCTTCCTCCTCTTTCTCGTCCTCTGTCATTCCCTCCATGGGATCAGGCTGCTCCTCTTCCACCTGTCCCGTCACTGGGTTCACGCGGTCTTTAACCTGCCGGTACTCCTCGGTGTCGGAGTCGGAGTCGCTAGAGTACCGTGTGCCTGATGATGTGGCCTTTGACCTTTGACCTCCTAGCAAGCCTCTAGTGGCCAGGAGCCCAGCGGCATTCCCATATCCAGTATACTTGACGAAACGTCTCACTGGAATATCCAAGAAAAACCCAGCATATTAGGTCTTGGGGGTAAAACTCATGGGTGTTTAATACAGTGGTTGAAATGTGGCCCACCCAATCAAAAGTTGGTTCTTTTCCATTTAGATGAATGGAAAAGTGTAATAAACCCCCCCAATAATGATTTATACATTTAGATAAGGAATAATTAAATGCAAGTTTCCATGGTCAGTTGCAGAAAGTTTCCTAGTTTTCCCTCTCCTTTTAGGTGCATACATTATATGCTTGTCAAAACGAAAAGTCAAATAAGATTCGCCAGTTTCTGTTAGTCCCGCCCACTACATTATCTTTAGGACTTACGGACGTAATAGTAGATTCATGCTTTTGTGGAGTTGAAGTTGAAAAAGACAAAGCAAATATCATCAATCAGCTGATACTTTAAAGGGGTCCTATTATACTATTTTACATATTCATCTTTCTTTAGTGTGTAATGTTGCTGTTTGAGCATGAAAAAGGTCTACAAAGTTTCACAAAGTCCCTCCAGCGAGAGTTATTCTCTATATCAGTGTCAGTGTTTCTGAACTCCCTGAAACGCCTCTGTTGTAGTCTTGAGTTTTCCTCTGGGAACGAACACGTCACAATATTCCTCATTTAAATAATACCCACCCAAGGTAGACATTAATTAAAGGGGCGGGGCCTGGTTGAGTTCGTTAGTAGTGTGTTTCAACTACCGGTTATGGGAAGGGGCGTGACATTCCCAAACACGCTTGAAGCGGTTGACCAATCACAACACACTGATTCTGCCAACCAATCAGAGCACATTGCGGATTTCGGAAGGAGGGGCTTCATAGAGACAGAAACTAAACAGAGCGTTACTGACAGACTGGGAAGAGAGGAGCTGCAACAATGGAGAATATGGGAAAAATAAAGTGGTTTTGAACATTCAAGCGTGAAAGCCTATTCTAGTAGAGCCCCAAAACAGAATTAAGTCTTTGTAAAAGGGAATAATAGGTCCTCTTTAAAAATCCTAATTGGGACATCCCAACTGTACTCCTGCAAGATTTCGTCAGAAGCCCTCCTCGTCTCAGACTAATACTGTAGGAGGACATTTCAAGTTAAGTACAATCATTTTCTCAATGTTTATAGTTTAAAAAAAATCAAATAGTAATTCATATGTTTATACTGTCATTATAGTTGATGGAAAACAGGGTGGCTATTTTCGGTTTTGAAATTTTGTGTTGCATTGTATTTTTTCATTCTGTTTTTGTGGTAATTTGGCGTGCAGTTTGAGTTTTCATACTCTATGCTTGGGTGTTTCTATGCGGTACCGTTCTCTTTGCACAGCACGAAGAGCAGGTCGGCAGCGCAGTGTTTGAGCTCAGTCTCCAGGCTGGTCATCAGTCTAACCAGACGATTCCTCAAGGTGTTGCCCTTCTCAGGTTTAGTGCTAGCATCTCTTAACGGAGGCAGAATCTGTACTCGGTGAGAAAACATATGCAATTTGATACAAAACAATGCAAGTGTTTTATTAGACAGTGTTGCCTCATGATAATGTAAAACAGCAGTCGTGCCTGTTGTCTAAGGTAGAGTCTCGTCTCTCTGTGACCTCTGGAGCACTCGCTCAGCAAGTTCAGCACAGGGGTCAGTCTCTCTTTGACCTTTTCACCCTGCATGTAAAACACCACTGCGTTAGAAAAGCCACTGTTGCACATGACAAGCAATGTTATGCAAAAATATATGCGAGTCATATCATGTATTTTGTTTTTCTTTTCCCCCTGAGGTCCACTATTAAAGATCATTTATTCCCTTCTCCCTTCTTCCACCCTCTCTGACCCTTCAAACACACCACATTTTTCTAAAATTTACACAATAAATAAAAATGCTTAAATTGTGTCATGAAAATATATTTCACGCCTTTCAGAGCCTACCAAAAATCAGTCACATTTTTTTCGGCAAGGATACATAAAATATATCAAAAGTGATAGTGAAGTCATTTGCAAATTCAAATTAACATTGTTCTTTTAAACTTTTTATTCATCAAAGAATCCTGAATTTATTTTAGCATGGTTTTCACCAAAAATAAAGCAGCACAACTCTGTTCAACATTGATAATAATCAGAACTATTTCTTGAGAAGCAAATCATCATATTAGAGTGATTTCTGAAGGATCATGTGACACTGAAGACTGGAGTAATGATGCTGAAAATTCAGCTTTGATCACAGGAATAAATGACATTTTATTAAATATTCAAATAAAAACTATTTAAATATTTTAAATCAAAATAATATTTCACAATTTTTCAATCAAATAAATGCAGCCTTGGTGAGCAGAGGAGACTTCTTTAAAAAAAAACTTTGAACGTTACTGTGAATTGCTAATATTTTATTATAGTACAGTAGTATTGACTGATTTTTGGAAGGCTCTTAAAGACATGAACTAGACTTATTTCTACCTAACTGCTGCCTTTCACAACACAGTTTAGGATAGTTTTAAGTTCCGAAAGTTGTTTTTCACAGGATAATTACCGTAATTTAAAGAACACAGACGCAGCCGGATCATTTCCATAATGACCAATGACCTTTTTTGGGCAGTAAATAATGGCAAAACATACCAATAAACTGACAAACGCAAACCTTACTAAATCACCTTGCATGATTCATTTAAATACTCTCCTCCTATAAATTTTGTGTCTGATGGGAAACTCCTACAAATGTATATGCAATAAGGTCAGCCGTAAAAAATAACCCTGTTCATGCCTTGTCAGTGCTAATATTTCACTGCGTGTCTTATCTTTAGTAAATCCTGACAGTAGTTTTTTAAAGAGGGTTAGTAAATCTGGCCCTAAATCTCAAAATATCAAGGACAATATGATTCATGATGATCTATCCGTTTCTCTGTTGTCTCCATCTTTTTGTTTCTCCCTTCCCTTATTTCTTTCTTTCACCCTGTTTTTACCTGCTCCAGTTTTCTCTCCATGTACATGAGAAGGTTTTGCACACAGTCCATGTTGACTCCGTTCATCTGGTGTGAGTCTGGAGCCAGAGGCACAGACACCAGAACGTCTAGACAACTCAACGGGAGAGCAGACAGCATGTTCACTGCATGCCTGAGAGAAAGACAGAGATGTGAGGTCATGCTAAAATCTGGTCTGTTTTCATCCAATGTTGAATACTGTTGATTAAAACAGAACATCAGTCTGTAAAAAGCAGAATTGTGCAGCTTGTATTTTACGTAAATTAGTCTATAAATGTTGGATATTTAACCCTTGTGCATCCTTATGGACATTTTTGTCTTTTTCAGTTTAGTTTTTTTAATCACTTTGCCTGTGTTAATGCTGCTAACTGCCAGAGTCGGACAGTAACGGAGTACATTTACTTGAGTACAGCACTTAAGTACAATTTTGAGGGATCTGTACTTTACTCAAGTATAATTTTTGGGGAGTACTCATGACTTTACTCAAGTACATTTGAGACGCAAATATTGTACTCTTTACTCCGCTACATTTCTATCCATAACCTTGAGTACCCGTTACTTCTTCTAAAAAAAAAAAAAAGGAAAAAAGACAGATCTCGGACACCCTCAATTTGTTGTTTCCCTCTCAAACATGATTGGATTGTGCAGACGCCACTGATTGGGACAGCCTATCATCCTTCACCTATCATCCTTCACTCAGCTTTCCGCCAAAGTCAACTCCATGGTCAGATTTAGATAAGAGACGAAACCATGGACGAAACAATGGATGAAGACACAACAGATCCATCCCGGGAATGTGCCAACCCGTGGCCCCACCTCGCCAGACTATTTCAATTTTCTGAACAAGTTAATGATAGTTTTCGCTTCAAGAGTTTGCTGTTTTTATCAAAACAGACCTTCATCACCGCCTACAAAAATTCATCCTCCAACTTGCGGATTAAAGCAACATGGTAAAAAGATGAAAATGACTTGATTTTACTTTCAATTCCTTTTACATTCTCCAAGGTATTAACATTAACATTTTTCATAACTCCATGTAGGACGTTTCTGTACATGTAAGCAGTGGCACTGTGGCAGTAGTAATGCAATACTTAGAAAATGTACTCTTGATACTCAAGTACTTTTAAAAACAAGTACTTCAGTACTTTTACTTAAGTAGACATCTGACTGTAGTACTTTTACTTGTACTTGAGTAAAATTTAGCAAGGGCTATCTGTACTTTTACTCAAGTAATGAAGCTGTGTACTCTGTCCGCCTCTGCTAACTGCTTGAAATTTGGCACAGGTGTGTATTTTTATTGGAATTGTACTATTTCATCGCCATTTCCTTTAAAAAATCTATTTTGCACCAGGTACACAAAATAGTTCCTCTCAGCGCCTTTGGATAAAAATGTCCCCATTGAAACCGATTAAAACTGCAATTTTTAAACCCAGGGTCATTTAACTGATGCAATCTTTTTGTAAGAGGCTTTCATTCTGTTGGCAAGGCTTCAAAATTTACAGGTTTGGCCTATAAAGCAAATACTCGCTTTATTCCTGTTTTCTGCTTCGGCAAATTATAGAGCTAATTGGGTAAATTATGCAACGATAATTGTGTGGGTGTGTTGGTATGGATGTCAGAGTGTGGTTGATGTGTGTTATAAAAAAATATGTGTGTGTGTGTGTGCATGTGTGTGTTTGTAATATTGAGAGAGAAAAACTCAACTGCAAATAACAAATCCAATCTCTGTGTGCACCAGTGGAGTTTTGCTGGAATCCAATGGGGAAAATCTGTTACTGCGCCCAAACTCTTACCGAAAGCTCATTTTTTGAGATATCAACCTCAAATTTGGAACACAACTTATTTAGATTTATGGCTTTTATTTTCTAGCCGTTTTAGAGTTCAACTTGTTTCATAAAATATATTTTATATAAAATATGTTTCATAAATAATTTTCATAAACTTAAACCTATATAACATTTTTTGGGATTTACTTATTATTATTTTTTACTTCAGCAATAATCTGCCAAGGGTCTTCTGAGAACAAACTGAAGTCTCTGCTCCCAAGCTTCAAATTTTTATGGCAGTTTTTTGACACGGACATTTTTGTCCACTATGTACCTGTGTAACTTTTTTTAATTGATGCACAAGGGTTAAACAGAAAATAAATGGTCCTTTTGAGGTGGAGAAGGTTATGCATTACATAATTCATATGAGTGAAGATGAGGAGAAAAGCAGACACAGATGAACATGGCTTTCAGAAGAAGGAAGAGCCTGTGCTCACTGTGACACTGGTACAGTTGAGGCACACTGTGGTCAATTTAGAGATATGAGAGAGAAATACTTTGAAGAAAACCACACATCTAATTCCTCATTTTCTAAAGCTTTCACGAACCGATCAGATGCAGGTGTTACTGAAGGAAGGCAGTCGCGCATCTGTCAGTCAAATTAATATGTGCTCTAGATTATTATTATTATTATAATTATTGCCTGCACACCGTGTGTAGGCTTAATGCCTTTTTTTAATGTCATGACCCTTAGAATTAAATGCTCCAAGTTTTACAAAATAAATAAAAACACACAAAAATATTTAGTACAATTAAAATATTATTAAAAATACACTAAAAATTACAATAAATACAATTTAATTCAATTATTAGTAACATACACTACCGTTCAAGATTTTTTTTATTCTTATAAAGTCAAAACCAGCAATATTGAGAAATATTATTACAATTTAAAATAAATATTTTATGTTATTTATTGCAATTAACATTGTTTTTTTGTTGCTTTATTATTATTATTATTATGCTCACCAAGGCTGCATTTATTTGATAAAAAATACAGTAAAAACAGTAATATTGTAAAATATGATTACAATTTAAAATAAATATTTTATTTTAATTATTGTAATTATTTTTGTATAATTATTTTGGAGTCTTATTTTTATTCTATTTTAATACTGTTTTCTATTATATTTCACTTTGTGTGTGGTTGTGTCATGATCTTGTAAATCCTACCAATATATATATATATATATATATATACACACACACAGTATATACATCTGTCAGCCAAATGAATATGTGCACTAGACTCTTAATAGACTCTTAATATGTGCACTTGATTCTCACATTTACTTGTCTATTTATTACCTACACAACAGTACTATTTTATTTTATTTTTTACTTTTTTTTATTACTAACTTCTATTATCTTTAATTCTTGTCTTGCTAATTTGTGTGCTTGTCTTGATCTTGTAAATCCATGTAAATTATATTTGACTTCCACTGTAAGTACATTACTGTACATATGTAACCCTTCTGGACCTGGGTTTACTTGCATCGCTCCGAGCGGGATTCAAACCCCTGTCTCCGGCATGACCCATGGGAGGCAGGTGCGCTAACAAGGACGGTAAAGTCCGCAGCCTCCAGCGTCAGTCGCCAGTGCGCCTCTTGGGGCCCGGGGAATAAGTTTTATTTATAACCGCAGCCTCCAGCGTCAGTCGTCAGTGCGCCTCTTGAGGCCAGGGGAGTGAGGTTTATTTTGAACCGCAGCCTCCAGCGTCAGTCGTCAGTCGTCAGTGCGCCTCTTGAGGCCAGGGGAGTGAGGTTTATGTGCCCAGCTCTTACTAGCTTGCCTCTGTTACACTCACCCCCTAAATCTCACTCCCATCCGGGTCACGGCACCAATATAACTCACACTGCTCCGAGCGGGATTTGAACTGCAGCCTCTAGTGTCAGTCACTAGTGCACACTTTTGTGCTTGTGGAACGAGTCATAATTACTGAAATTTTCAACCCAGAATATTATAGAGCAATAAAAATATTGATCAACACACTAACCCCTTTAACTCATTTGTAGCTTCCTCCTCCTCACAGGACACCATCAGACAGTAACGCAAAACTGCAGCCAGGTGGCGATAGAGAGATGCAGCTTCCTGGTGGTAGAAACAATGTGAACCTTGATGTTAACAATTTATATCAATTTATTCAGTGCAATGTGGGTTTACTACAGTTTTACTACAATACAACCATCTGATACATCACATAGTACCATTGTTTGTAAGGGAGGTGAGTGAGCATGAGTGTGATTATGTCTGCATACACCCACCTCTTCAGGTTCTTGAGTGTGTGTGCTGTGTGTGATATTAAAAAGGATCTTCAGAGCCTCTTGAGCCTGCTGTGAGTCCTCCACACTTACAGGAGGCGCTGCAGGATCCAGCACGACCTCATACTGTTCCTTCCACTGTACACCTAAACACATCTCCAGCACTGTGGTCAACAGCGACACTCCTCCTTTCTAAAAAATCACCAAAAACGGCAATACAATATGTAGATAGCAATGTGGCCGTTGGTCGATATACAACAGTTTACACTACCATTCAAAAGTTTGAGCTCAGTATGATTTTTTAAATATATTTTAGAAAGACATCTCTTGTGCTCAACTAGGGAGCATTTATTTGATCAAAAATTAATCAAAAACAGTAATATTGTGAAAGAACCGCATTTATTTGAAATGGACAGTTTCTGCAACACCATTTTTGATCAATTTAATGCTGGAAAAAAAAATCTCACTGACCCCAAACTTTTGAATGTTAGCATATGATAACAGAAAATATTATTTATATGACTTAATTTTTATTAATTTATTTATATGACTTAATTATTATTAATTTCCTCAAAATTCAAATAATAGAAGGAGAAAAGTAGATACTTGTTTCAGCTGTGTTCTGAGTTCAGGTCTCAGCGCCGTCAGTAAAAACATGAACCGGAGCGTGTAAAATTGGCCACAAGGGGAAGATGCAGACTGAAACTCCTTACTTAGCTTTTCTGTCAGACCACAGAGGAGACTGAAGTACAGCAAGCAGTGGGAGAGAAAAGAAAAAAAAGCATATGACATGCAAATATATTTAGTTTCAGTGAATACAGTGCCCCCAAAAACACTTTAGTAACAGAAATGTATGAATTTCATTGCAATAGATTCCATTTTTGCAATGACTTGTAACCCAGGGGTCAAGCTTTCCCTGGTAAGCACAAGTAGGGCCCTTTGAGTTACTGTGGGTATCTGATGATAGTTTTTCTAAAATGAAATGGTAAAATGCTGGTGAAGTGAGTCTCAGAGCAGCTCTGGGGATGAAGTTCATTCTCATAACCCTATTTGATGGAGTGTGTAGCTTTTTGTTTCTTAAACAACCAAGACATCATGGCCATATTCCAAGATGATAATGTCAAGATTCATCAGACTCAAATTGTAAAATAAGGATTGGGAGGTAGCATGACTAATCATTTTCAGAGTCCAGATTTTAAACTCAATGAAAGTGTTTGGGATGTGCTGGAGGAGACTTTACAGAGAGCTGGACTCTTGCATTGTCAATAGAAGATCTTCAACAAAAATGTATGCACCTCTTCATGGAAATAACATTTATCTCTGCACAGTCTACTCCAGTACATCCCAAAGGCTTTCAATGAATTTAAGGTCTGGACTCAGGGTTTGAGTTTGAAAAAAAGAGTTTGAATCATATGTTGAAATGGCTCATACCTGAGTTCACTGGCTCTCTCTTGTGCCCAAGCACTATTGTAAACAATGTTACATAAGATTTTCATGACTTCCTTCCTGGTCACTTCTTCATCATCATCATCTTTTTCTGCCTCTTCCTCCGCTCCTCCAACGCTTCCTCTGCTGTCTCTTTTACCGGGTGAGAGAGCTTTATAAACGCTGCTCCTCCTGCGAGAAGGTACGAGGCTGATGTTTGAAAACGTGCTAGCCTTGCGATCACCACACCAATTGCTCCAGACCACATCACTGGTTACAGCCTCAGAACCATCGTCTTCCTCACCACCGTTATCATCCTCATCTGCTCTGCCTAATTTGCTCTCAGAAATGGCCAAAATGACGTCATCATAGGGGTCAACATCATTGTCGGTGTCTTCTTTTGGAATAGGTGCATTGCTGATGCCGCCCAGGTGGGCTAGAGTGAGCAGTGCTCTGTCAGTGATGAGAGGTCCCAAAACCTTTTTGTCCCTCGAGAGGATTCGTAAGGATCTCAGACATTCTTTCAGCAAACGCCCTTGCGGTTCAGTCTGGAGGAACCTGATCAGAACTGTAGCCAGAGCCTGAGGGCAAGAGAGAGAAATGCAAACGAAACCAAGGCGTAAGTTGTTTTTAAGATTGGTTTATTTGTGTATTTATTTATAAAAGCCAAGATTACCTGTCTCAATATGACGTCTGGGTCACTGGACTCATCGTAGTCTGAATCCGAGTCTGACACATAATCCCGCACTTTATTCTTTCTGAACTGCGGTGACCCCCCCCCAAAAAAACGATTATAGGAATGAGCCATTTTGAGTATACTGTGAATCATGCATTCAATTTGTGGGAGTTTTTTTTTTGTCGTTACATGACAGGCCAATAGAGATTAAGATATAACAGTGATTAGTTTCGGTGGTGCTAGTGATCCAGAAATTGCACATGGCAACTTTTTATTTCATGGTACAGGACAATATTTACCTTCAAATTATGCAGCATTATTAAATGATAAATATTAGAACAATTATTTCAGATTTTTAATACAGTGAGTGTTTAAGTTAAAAATACAGTAAAGGTATATAAAATCCAATGTAAGGCATGATTCCATTTGGTGGAATCAATAGTGTAACCACTAGATACCTGTGTGGCCCTATTTATAGCTACTGTATAGCCACCGTGATTTTGCCAAGTAAGACATGTTTCTGGATCAACTTTTTTTTTTTTTTGATCCTGGAACCCTATCCCAAAACCTAACCCTACCCATAACTTATCCCTAAAATCAGAGAGAAATGATAGGTGAATAACTGATGTAGAAAGACATAACCCTGGTTGTAAGCCTAAACTTAACAAACTTTAAACTTGCCCTACAAATCTGATTGGTTGATTGGAATGTTGTTCCAGATGTTGATCCAGGAACATGTGAAATCACGTTCACCCCTTATGGGGCTGTGTGTTACTTAGTTCCTCATCAGTATTTTCAGGCATAATTACAGACAAACTTTTATTAGGTTTTTCATATTTAGACATTATCAAAAACTATTTAATCATTGCTCTGTTTTTCATATGCCCCATTCATTTACTATGTGGTCAGTTTGGACTGTCAAGATCACAAATGTGACTATTTTGCCTTCTAATCATTTCCACAATGTGTGTGTGTGTGTGTGTTCACATAGGAAGTACCACAAAAAAAAAAAAAAAACAGTAAGTTTTTTGACATTTTGATAAAGTACTTTTTTTTTCTAGTCTAAAATGAGAGGGTTCATAATGGTCAAATCAGGATGTCGGTAGCCTTATAGGGAATTCAAGAATTTAGAAAATAATACCTCTTCCAGCTCCTGCCTCTTTTCAGATTAAACAAGCAGCCAGACGACAGAAAAATATGAAAATCATTAAACCAACCCAAAAGATAAGACAATAAATTTTTCTATCCTAAGTGTGCGTTTTGTGTTTGCATGTTTTAACAAGCAGTAACAAAGCTGAAGGACCAGGAAAGGAGAAATATATCCCAGCAAGGTGATACTGATACAATGTTGAGTTTTCATCCTAAAGTTTTCACGAAATCAAATATGGCAATTCCTATTTTTTATGGAATATTGCAGTGTTTATTATATGTGCCCTCATAATCTTTAATCGCGAGGGCGGGACAACCTGTCACTTACATGAGACTGACTGACCAATAGCAAACCACAACCATCCAATCAGTGACTGGAAGTTTTTCCCAAACATCCCTGATTTTATTCATTCATTTATTTACTTATACTTATTTGTTTTGTTTTTCTAAAAATGTTTTAGTATTTCTAGAACGTTTGTAACATTCGTAAAGTAACGTTTGTACCAATATTGTTCAATATATCTTTTGTGAAATTTCAACATTGTTTCAACAATTACTGAGGATGTAAAAATGATGTTGAACCAACATCATATTGTAATGTTAATTCAATGCAATTAACGTAGACACATCAACACTGACATGCTACCTGGAATGGAATTAGCAGGGAGCTTATGGTCTAAATATTAATGAGCTGCAGGCCTGGGATCAAGTCAACTACTGCAGTATCAGCAAACAACTCAGGACATGCGGGAAATATTTCCTGCCCAGAGGAAATGTGTATGACTCAAAGTTTACAATTTCATATAGCTTATAGTTCTTATTTCTTTGTAAATTGAATATAAATGTTATCTCAGATGTTTATTTGGGAATAATCTATTATTTGGAGAAATCAAAATATAAAATACATCAGCTATGAATAGCATAACATATAGACCATTTGCTCGGGGAAGAACATTTGGTCTGGAATTTATAGAAATCCTAGCCTGGGAAAACCCAGACAACTTCCGGCAAATTTAGATTTGCTCTGAAAGTTAGTCTGGCAAAGAGCTCATTCAAGCCCATTTCCAATCCGTCGTAATCGCGGCACCAATCAGAAACGTTGGGGCGGGCTTTACACGATGACGACAGCGCTGGGATTTTGAAGCAGATTTTGTAGCCTACATTACAAAGATGGATTCCGCCGTCGAACATCACTCGTTCCAATCAGCTATCGCGTCTGTTTTAAGCCATTTGAACGTTTCCTTTTTGTTAAAAACCGAGCAAAGAACAACACTCGGAGATGTTACTCCACCGCTCTGCATACGTCATCTCCTTCATCGCTCTGATTGGGTTTAGGTCTATCCGCAACTCCGTTGGTGACGCCCCTCTGGAAATGATTTGTCTATGACGCTTTGCCAGACCATAACTCAGTTACAACTGAGAATGGTCTGGTTTTAACCAGGCTATAGAAATCCCTGAATTTGAGAACATTTTAAAGGTACACTATGTAACTTAGCATCCCTCTAGCGTTTAAAAACAAAACTGCATGCATTTTGTGGAAGAACACAGTTTTGGTTGTGCTTCGGGTCTGCTTGACACTGGATGAATATGATCCTGCACAAAAGATAATGCTTTACATTGAACTCTGTCTCTTAGAAAGCTACATATGGCAATTTATCTTTAAAATAAAATGCCATATTCAACTGTTGAGCAATAAAAACGCCACCTTAGTGTCGCTTTTACAACATTTCAAATCCCTCAGTTCTCGCCACCTCCACAAAGCCAAGCCAATGTTGATTCTTGTTTTATTACAAGCTCTGTTGCTTTCTCTTTTTGCCAGCAGACTCTCCTCTGTTCGGCGAGTTTTTAAAATGGGTGATCCAAGAGTTTCAAGAGATCCAAATGGGAGGTTCAAGATTTAGCCGGTCAACCATAGCCGCGTTTCCACCGCAGGAACTTTACCCAGGATCTAGTGACTTTGGGCTGGTACTTGTTGTGTTTCCACCGCAGGACCGCATGGAGTTGAGGGTAAATATTTCCCCCCTCAGAAAGTCCCTGCTTGTGAGACCGTACTTTTTCAAAGTTCAGGAACTTTCAGAGGTGGGACTTGGGCGCTGAACATGCTGATTGGTTGAGTTCATGCCGCATTTTGATTGGTTGACTCCACGCAACATTTTATTTCAACCACCATCTGTTGCAGTAACAGTTGTTTGCTATTCGAATCAACAATGGAGTTTAAAAAAATACGACCGATGGACTGACGATGAGGTTCAGGCTTTATTAAGCTTAAATTCAGAGCATGAAATCCAGCGGGAACTGTAAAGTAGCGCGCAGTCCTACGTCACCGGACTATTTGACTAATCTTCACAGTACTTTAGACCGCGGTGGAATCACAGACAGCAACAGGTCTGGGGGAAAAAAAGTTCCTGGGACAAATCGTACCGGGTAATTTCGGTGGAAACGTGGCTCATGTCAACCTTTCTCACTCGTTGTGACAAGTAACCTCATGCCCAGCCACGCAACAAAAACCATCACTTATAATAGGCTTAACATAGTGAATCAGGGTAAGACAAAAACATGTTTAGGAAGAAGGACTGATGATGTATTGACTCATTGTTTAAATGTTGTTAACATAGTGTACCTTTAAATACATTGCTGAGATCTTTTCTGAAACTTGGGAGCTACTGGCTTCTTTTTCTTATTTAAATATATAAAGAGACCTCATTGTTCTTTCCTGTGAGTGTGTATGTGTAATTGCACTCAAATATCCCTTACTTTTCTTCTGTCCCGCTGCTCCAAATCATAGAAGAAGCACTGTGCATACTAGGAGCGAGAGAGAGAGAGAGAGAGAGAGAGAGAGAGAGAGAGAGAGAGAGAGAGAGAGAGAGAGCAATTAGAAATGAGCAATTACATAAAATGTGAGCTTTGTGTGCACAACTTGTGCAAAGTAGATTGTTTTATAATGACATGTATTGTCAGTGCAAATGTTATTAATACAGTGGTTTTGAAGCCACCGGACTGAACATAATCACTGTTAATTGTTAGTACCTCTCGATTAAATTGCTGTAGTTCTGCCTTGAGTCCTTTCTGATCGCCCTCTCTGATAAACTCAATAATCCTCTCCACATTCATCGCTGCAAGATAAACACAAATGCACACACATGCACAAATATTAAAACATTCTCCAAAAAAAAGGCGAGATACAGAAATCTGAGACCACATGAAGAATCTGTGATTTAAACAAGAAAATAAACACAATTTTAGGGGTTTGAAAAATCCCAAACAAAGAAATGTTTACAGTGAAACGTAAAATGAATAAGAAATATTGGTTATTTGGTAGCACTTTATTTTACAGTGTCCTTATTCCACGTTACATGTAGTTACTGTAGTAGCCTAATAACTATAAATTTTGCATAATTACATGCAACTGACCCTAAACTAAACCCTATTCCTAACCCTGACCCTATAGTAAGTACATGCTGTTAATTACTATTACTCAGTACCAGCCCATTCTCATCCCTAGGCGTCATGAAACTGACGCCTCGGGAATCATTTTGACCATGCTTCAATATTTGACGCTTTAAGTACTTAAATGTATAATTACACTGTAACACAGACACATTTAAATAAAGGGTGACACTTTATTTTAAGGTGTCATTGTTACAATTTAATTATACATTTAAGTACTGAGTAATATTAATTAAATACATTACTATAGGGTAGGGTATAGGATTAGTATTTGGTTGAGGGTTAGTTGCATGTAATTATGCATAATTTACTGTTATTAAATACATGTAACATATGTAACAAAAATACTGTAAAATAAAGTGTTACCAAATAAAGTGTAACCTTTTATTTTAAGTTGCCCTTGTTACGGTGTATTAAATAAGTACTGAGTACAGTAATAAGAAATACGTACATATGCACTATAATTATGGATAGGGTTTGGTTTAGTGTTAACTGTAACATGTAAGATGTGTAACAGACACTGTAAAATAAAGTGTTACTGAAATATATGGTAGTTCACTAATCAGAAGTAATTCATTAATAAATGTAATCAATCCGTTATTAAAGCACAAAGGGGGACAAACCAGAAGCTAAAACATAACATTTTCAATTCAACTTTTGATTCAAATTGTTACAATGATAATATAACTTGTAATAAAACAATACTAAATGCAATATAAAATGAGAAAAAAAATACTGTAGAAACATTTCCACGAGTGGCACTTAAACGTTTGTCCTATCTAAAAAGGCATTAATATGAAATTTTCACACCAAAACCAGCATATAATTCAATTTCAGATTTCTATCCATTCCAACTAAAACAAGTGTCTTCTTCATCATCTCACCTGTGAGTGTGTCTTCACCTGAGTACGCCATGCGGGATCCAATGTGCTGGATCTTAAATTTCTATTAGATTTGAATCACTTGCTATTAAACTACAAGTCGTTCTCTTTACCTCCAGGCCTTTTATCCACTTCTCTCTCAGTCTTTTTCACTCTCTGTTTACTCTGCCTTTTTCCCTGCCCCCTTTTCTCTGTAATCCTGCATTGCATTAGTTATGCTCTAATCCTTTAATGTCTTTCCACTTCATCTCGATTCACTCGCCCTATAAATAACCTCACAGGAGAGCCAGTCGGTGGTGCAGTGGCATACAGTAACCACAAGATGGCGGTTCAGTTGAAGACAGTGACATGACGACCAGCGACTGTTCCAAGTCACACATTTAACATCTATATGTCATTAAAGGGATACTCCACTTTTTTGGGAAATAGGCTCAATTTACAACTCCCCCAGAGTTAAACTGTTGAGTTTTACTGTTTTTGAATCCATTCAGCCGATCTCCGGTTCTGGCGGTACCACTTTTAGCATAGCTTAGCATACATCATTGAAGTGGACAAGACCATTAGCATTTCTCATAAAAAATGACCAAAGAGTTTCGATATTTTTCCTATTTAAAACTTGACTCTTCTGTAGTTACATCGTGCACTAAGACCGACAGAAAATGTAAAGTTGCGATTTTCTAGGCTGATATGGCTAGGAACTATACTCTCATTCCTGCGTAATAATCAAGAAACTTTACTGCAGTACCATGAGTGCAGCAGGCGTAATGATATGACGCAGCGCCTGAAAATAGTTCCGTTGTGTTGACGGAAGGTAGCCTATTTTCAGGCGCTGCGTCATATCATTACGCCTGCTGCTCTCATGGTACTGCAGTAAAGTTTCTTGATTATTACTTGGATCGCGCGATGAGGAGTGTTTTCACGCACATCAACAACAACATTTCTTTCTGCCATTTTTTTCCATCATCAACCATTTTGGAGATAACTACTATTACTGCTCTGTACCTGCTGTGGAAGGCCAGTGCTAACCCACGCCAATCGTGTTGCCCAATACATGTCATTCACGTCGCAAATTTGCATCTATTCGTGTATGTGCATTGACTTTGTATGTAATTTACTTGCGCAAATAATTAAATATGCTTTTGGTGTGCAGACACCATAAGGCTATGCAGAGATGTACACAGACAGACACTGAGCGCCAAAAACAAACAGCAGCCGCCTTTTACAGTTCCGAACTAAAACAACGAGCTTACGTTGCGTTCACGCCATGTCATAATGTAATTACGAGATAGCAACCTGTGACGTCCTCAGACTCGGATTAATGCGTTATGTCATGCAAGTTGGTTATGTTGATTTTTGTTGTAATGTTATGTGATTTAAGACATGAGGTAATTTAACACTGTCTGCTGTGTGCGTTCATGTGTTTTGGAGGAGGCGTGGCTTTGGAGAATATCTGAAGGGAGGGTGGGATCTCATGGTTTCAAAGCTAACTTGCTATTGCTAGCCTCTCTGCAATTGCCTACCCTACCTTAAACTTCAAAAGATTAATAAAAGTAAGATAAAATATTGTAAACAGACAAAGCTGCTTTGTTAAAGTTAAATTTAAAGTCACCATGAAATCAAAATGGACAATTCTTGATTTTTTTTAATATTGCATAAATGATTGTCCGTGTACATCATTATTTCTTGAAATTCCCTCTTAAAGGTGCTATATGTATTTTTTAGCGGCCTCTATCTGTGATGTTTCAGATTGCAACCAATTTTTACAAGAGCGCTCGTGCTCGAACACAAGAGCGAGCACTCATGGTACCGGCCACACTGAGAGTTTCAACACACCGGAGAAAGCATCACACAACATGCTGGAAACTCATGTAAACTCCCACTGCAACGTTACAATAATAGGCTACTTTTATCAGCTTGACGTTGAACTAATGCTCCATGTTCTTACCATGATAACGTTACATTTGTGGTGTTATCTAGCATAAGGCATTTCACTAACTATTCGTGTATCTTTCACAATCAGGCAGCAATGTCAACATAGGTGAATCTATAATATGATAACGAAAACGGTTAGTGACTAGACTGAACAATTTCAGTGTAACAGTAAGATCGTAGGAAGTAACATTACTGTACTGAACGTGTCTGGAAATGTGTATTATAAACAATATGATAGTAGTGGATGAGTGTACATAAAATAAAAGTTACATCCTAAAGCACCTACTTTTTGTTATCCTGGAACAGTCTTTTGTAGTCATTTCATGTCTCATATGCAGTGTTGGGGGTAACTCATTACAAGTAACTTGAGTTACGTAATCAGATTACTTTTTCAAGTAACTAGTAAAGTAACGCATTACTTTTAAAATTTACAACAAAATATCTGAGTTACTTTTTCTAATAAGTAACGCAAGTTACTTTGTTTTCCCCTTTATTGACTGACAGCTCTTCTGTCCTAATGTTGAGACAAATCGAAGTGCAGAGGCGTTGTGTGTAAACATGATGGTTATTAAAGTTCTAGATTAAATGTAAGCGTGGATTTACTCATCTCACTTGCACACAAAAGATTCAATATTCCTCAAAATGAATAAAATCAGTGAAATGCAGAATCAGAACACTATGCAAACCTCCAATACCTAAATATATTAAATAAAACATACATTTTTATGCATTTAATCTTTATTGACCAAAGTACTTGCTTCTGACCTCCGATTTTTCAGTTAAACCATAAGCAAAAATGACTATAGATTTTTTTATATGTTTTTATTGGTAAAGTAAGTGTTAAATTTGTTTCTCCTGCATCCTCTTCTTCTGTTACCCAGAACAGCAGCAGCTGAAAGGTTTGTTTGAGCGGCGCCCTCTACTGAACACTACTGTACTCTACTGTACAGGAGTAAACCTGCATTTCCTTCAGTCTGAGGCTTATTATTTCACTTTTGGTGTGAAAGGGTCTTTACATTTGCCCAAAAATACATCTTTTTTGGTATAAAAAAACAAGCCCAGCCCAGGTGGAAAAAAAGTAACACAAAAGTAACGTAACACATTACTTTTCTAAAAAAGTAACTAAGTAACGCAATAAGTTACTTTTTAAGGGAGTAACACAATATTGTAACGCATTACTTTTCAAAGTAACTTTCCCCAACACTGCTCATATGTTGTAGTTTACCTTACTATTTCATTACAGTTTGTTTCAGCATATCTGAAAACTTGTAATTTATCACAATAAAAATATCGGAGGTCTCTCCATAATTCAAACGTTCTGCCGATGTTGATCCGTGTTTTCGTCCTAAGTCGATCCGATTCACGTTTGGCCTGACGAGCTTCAGCAGATACATTTTTGTTTTGTTTTGTTTTTTATATTTATGTGGAGTTTGTGTTGGAGTGTGTGTTGTGCTGGAGGCAGGAGTTTTTGGGTGTTATCAGACTCCATGTCGTCAGCTCCAGTGCCGTCGCATAGACTGTATATAAAAAGGAGAGAGGCTCGGGAGCGCGCATGCATCTGTGCGTGTCTGTGTGTGTGTGTGAATGGGCATTTTAGTTAGTCAAGTGTGTGTGAATCTGTCATGTAACTTAGTCAATGTGTTTCCTGACAGGATACACATCAGTGCCTAGTGTCCGACAAAAAAAAGACACAGTACACACACTCACTGCACCTCGTGCCACTGAATGGCAATCAACAACAGGATATGCCTGTTAAAGATAGGAGAATGTTTGAAATGATATACACTGCAATTCATATGAGAATAAACACCCTTTACCTTTCCCTATCTGAACAAACTGACGTACACAGACATAAATCATGACGTACAAGTGCTCGAACAACAGCTCCTCTTCTACTCTTAATCAAGTGTTACACAAATCCTGCATCCACACCTGCCATTTACATCCTGTTGACAAGCTCCTTCAAAAAGCGATTGTGTCATGGTCAGAGTCAAGATGAATAAAGGTGAATCTGATTAAAAGTCACAAACATCTGTTAATTGTTACCGGGACTTCAAATATTATAAAATAAAATAAAATATCACGCATCTTATGTTTTTCTCATTTTATTTTTATGAGATTAATTCTAAAGTCAGTGACTTCACAATAAATAAATAATAAATATGATTGTAAGCTTAGGGACGTTTAAGATGTCTGTGTCATAGAATTGTTCGCACAAAAATCTCCATTGAGTAGTAAATTCTGCTTAGTTTTTAATAAGTCTCATAGGAATCACAGCTATAATTATACCTGGTTGTTGGTTAATGTCTGGTCTGACTACAACTGACACAGGAAGATAATGAAAAAAAGGATCGACAGTTAATATCAAAATATATGATTTTTTGGGGCAACATGTAGACAGCCGTTAGACCAATCAAGTGTCAAATTAAATGCAAAGTATGATTTAACATCTTTTTCTTCTATCAGGCCTACATTTATACTATAGAGAAGAGTAGGTATGAACTGAAATTTGAGGGGAAAAAAACAGTCGTATTTGGAAGGACATTTGTGTCTCATTGGATGACAGTGTTATTTTATATAATATTTGAGAAGAAAGTCTGCCTAGCTTTGCCTAGTTCCATATTGAAAGCATGGATGCTGTCTTTGTAGATGTTATAATGGACTACAAGTTTTGTCTTCCGCCACATGCGCTCTGCTCTTCTGCATTGTCTTTTCATATTTTGCACAGCTGTTGAGTTTTTCCAAGGTGCTTTTTGTCTACCACTCTTCTTCCTGACTTTCACTGGAGCAATATCATCAATTACACTTTTAACTTTTGAGTTTAAAAAATCAAGGAGAAAATCAACAGAGTCAGCAGATTAAAGATATAGCCTTGATAAATAGTACACTAGTGTTCTCATTCAAGCATCTCTTCTTGACAGACACAATTCTAGCTTCAATGGCTGGAAAGATCAATATATCAAAGAATATACAGAAATGATCAGAGATTGCTACATTTTTTAAGGAGTAACACATTACTTTTAAAAGTAACTTTACCCAACTTCAACTTATTTTAGTTACAGTAGTTGCCAAGGCAACATTTCTAATTTTCAAGTTTTTAAAAATGTAAGTTTTTCATCTAATACTTTTGTTTTACTTCATTTTAATTTAAATGACTGAAACTGATTTTAATAGAGAATAACAACACTGTTTGGATTTTGAGTTTTAAATGTCTTGCATGTTTTTTGAGAATAAACTGAAATTAAT